TGCTGTGGGACCCTGCAGTTTGTTTTGTTTTGTTTTTGAAAGATTTACTTAGTTATGCATGCAAGGCTAGCGATCAAGGAGGTGAGAGGATTCACCAGAGACAGAACAAGAACAGAACAGGCAGATCCACTGAAATACACTGCTGAGGGGAACAGTGGGAGAGACAGGAGAGGTCTGCTGCACCCTGTGGGTCAGCTCCCTGGCCAGGGATCGAAGTTGTGCTACAATGGCTACAGATAGCTTCATAGTGCTGAGATTTAACCCTTTGTGCCACCAGGGAACCCAAGGTCCCACAATTCTTAGCTGCTTTAGAAATCCAACCCACCGGTGTTCCAGTTACATACTGTAGAGTCTTGTTTTATCTTTGAAATGTCTGGAATGTACCTGAAGATTCTAGAAGAGGTGTCATTTCAAACCCAGCAGTGGTTGACTGAAGAAACAAGCTGAGGCCAGTCTGTGAATCAGAGATTTGTGTCCTGGGAGAGGAGCAAGGAGTGTAGCTTGTCAGACATTCTGGCCCACTGGAGTGTCTGAGAGGAACAGGGCAGCTCAGGACACAGTTGTGTCTCTGTGGCATTTCCCTCCCAGGCCTCCCATGCTTGCTGTCTTCACCAGCTCCTTTGTTTCCTCCACATAGGGCTGCTGGGAGTCTGGCCTCCTGCCTCCCTCTGCTGCCGGCTCCGTAACAGTCTTTCTTTATCCAGTTCTTCACACAAGTGGGACGAGCCCCACTCAGGTTTACGAGGATTGACTTTGCATGGCCTGGTTGGCCAAGCACAGAGGTCATGTCTTGTGTCAAGATTGTTATCGGTGTGCTTATCATACTCACCCTCGGCCTCTTGTGGGCGAGACAATGGAAAAGTGGGGAAAGAAACCAGCTTTCCTGTTACCCTCCAGGGGACTGGAGTTTGTTGGGTGTGTGGCTACTGCATGAACTTTTGGGGTGTTCCGTGAGAGGACAAGGAAGCCTTCATTCTCCATCATTGGTGCTCCAGTTGTATTTGTTCTGTTATTTCTTGCTAACTAACAGTCCATCCTGGCGTTGAGCGCCTTAAAACAGCAGCATGTTGGGCGCAGCGGGTTAAAGCACAGCACTGAGAAGGTAAAGCCGCTTCCGCATGAGTTCGATTCCCGCCTGCCCCGAGGAGATCACATGGCGTGGCAGACCTCTCCTGACCCGCCCGCTGCTCCCCTCAGCAGTGTACTTGTCCATCTGCCTGTTCTGCTCCCCACTCTGTCTCTGGTGAATCCTCTCATTGCCCCTGCACCTCTGGCCTGTACGCCAGTTCTGTATGCATAAATTCTCACCGTTCTGCCGTTTGATGGGATTCCCTGGGCAAATCTGTTCCTCAGCACTGTATGTTTGGAATGAACTACCAAAGGTGGCTTTTTTGCTCTGTGGGATGGGTGTGCTTCTGCCCACGTGACCAGTATCCCAGCAGACGAGATACCTGGAAGGGCTAAATTAACATGGCGTCTCTCTGCCACTTTGTTAGTCAAAGCAAGTCACACACCAGGTTAGTCTCAAGGGAAAAGCATGCAGCACCTGAGGGACAGACTGCTGCTGATAATGGTCCCTGGAAACTGTCTGCCATAGTGGGCCTGGTGTGGTACATTTTTGAAGTTTTGGTCTTTTCGTTTTCAGTGGTGTAGTGTGATGGAGGGACATGGGGCAGGTAGGAATTAGCTCCATGGCTGTAAACATCACATCTTCTACCTGTGTCCCAGGGTGTCTTGGGAAGGCAGAGCTTTCTCTGCCCTGGACTGTGGGGTTAGACACTTTCCTCAAAGGTTTCATTGACTGTCTTGGGATGTGCAATACAGCTGATGTCAATCAGCCACTTCTTAGGGGCTTGTTTCTGAGCTTTTGCCTTTTTGGGGTATCATACCATTAAATTATAATCTCTCCGGCCTAGGCAGACAATTCTGGTAGTTCCTGGCTTGCTTCAACTGGCATTGGAGGTACAAAACTGCCACCTGTGCCCCAGACCACAGTGTCTCCTAGTCTGTTATCGGTGTGCTTATCATACTCATCCTCGGCCTCTTGTGGGCGAGACAACGGAAAAGTGGGGAAAGAAACCAGCTTTCCTGTTACCCTCCAGGGGACTGGAGTTTGTTGGGTGTGGCTACCTTTGATGGAAGGATTTGCCCACTTTGGATAGAGATGCTGATGCCCCGGCCCTGAGTGTGTAACGGGTCCCCACAGGGTTCAAGTTTTCATTCAGAAAGGGCTTGTTCAGCAGCTCATGTGCCAGCACTGTGGGGGGAGCACCCACACATCAGGTATTGGGGAGATAGAGGTGCAGACCTGTGATGCCAGGCAGATGCAGAGGAGGCTTTGGGAGCAGAAAGTAGGTGCCTTCATTCTGAAGGGGTCCTTGGGTCAGAGGGGATGTTTGAGGTCAGTCTTAGAAAAAAGAAAAGCTGGGCCTCCCTGGTGGCACTGGGGTTAAAGTCTCAGTGCTATCAAACCATCAGCAGCCACTGCAGCATGAGTTCGATCCCCAGCCAGGGCAGTGAAACACATGGCCCAGCACACCTCTCCTTACCCACCCGCTGTTCCCCTCAGCAGTGTTTCAGCAGACCCGCCTGTTCTGCTCCCCACTCTGTCTCTGGTGAATCCTCTCACCCCCTGCACCTCTGCCCTGTGCCCCAGCTCGTATATGCATAAATGAGTATTTTTTTAAAAAGAAGATGAAGAGTCAGCCAAAGTGGATGAGCTGACCAGGAGACGGAAATTGAGGAAGAGGAACTTTGGAGCACAGGGCTGCCAGGAGCTTCGCAAGACTGGAGGTGTGGCTTGGGTTGTGGTGCAGAAAAGATGCCAGAAAGGCAGGCAAGAACATAAGAAGCCTTTATTTCCTGGCTGTGCATTTTATTTATCCTACAGTCGTGTCGTGGATGGTGTTCTAATGGTGGGTCACCCTGACAGCTGGGGGGGCTCAGAGAGGGACTAGGGACTGGGCGGGAAAGCTGAGAGCTCTACCTGGACATGGCTGCAGGCCTGGCACTGTCCTCATGTGGGCATGGGGCCTGGTCCGTGCGTGTTCCTGGCGGAGCATCAGCTGTGGAAGCAGCCTGACAAAAGGTCCTCACAGGAGGCTGGTCTGTAGGGGAAGGTGAGTGGGTGCGGCCCACAAGCCCCTGCCAGGACACAGTGCCACATGGGCCTGCCAGAGCCTCAGCCTGACCGCAGTAACCAAACCTGTCCACAGCTCTAAGCAGACTTTCCCTGCCAGGCCCACCCCTGAGGCCCTGTCTAGCCGGAGGGCTAGGGCAGGCCAGGCTAATCTGGCTCCTGGTCTAAGAAGACCTGCCTTTCCTCATGGCCACCAGGCCCTTGCAGGAGAGGAGACCGTCATTCTTTTGCTGTTCATTCCTCGCCTGTGTTTGTGATGCTGTTTCCCCTCAGGATTCCACATTTCCCTTGAAGGATGACAGGAATTCCAGTAGCCTTCTACCAGAGGGGTTTCTGACATAGGACCAGACAAGGACCCCCCAAAGCAAGGTCTTCTTTATGATAATGAGAACATCTCTTGAACCTTTTTAAATTGTGCGTGTTGTTTACCTTAAATTTACATAATGTTATATGGCAATGTACTGATTAAAACTAAAGAAGGTCCCTCCCTGGTGGGTTAAAGCACAACACTCTGAAGCTGGCCACAGCCTCTTCAGCAAGAGTTCCATCCCCAGCCAGGGAGGCGACCCACATGGCGCAGCAGACCTCTCCAGACCCACCCGCTGCTCCCCTCAGCAGTGTACTTCATCATTCGGCCTGTTATGCTCCCCACTCTGTCTCTGGTGAATCCTCTCACCGCCCCTGTACCTCTGGCCTGTATCCCAGTTCTCTATGCATGAATAAATATTTTTTAATAAATAAATAAAACTAAAGAAAATAAATATATTTGTAAGTGTATGCAGATTTCTCCTACTTTATGAATTTATACATTTCTTTTCAGGTGTCTCTGAACAATAATCCCCTCTGAAATCATTGATAGCTGATTTCCACATGGCAATCATTGAGTAAATACTAAATGGTTAACTTTAAGAAAAAGTTTTGTTTTTCTTATTTCATTTTCTTTTGTGTGAAACTCAACAATTTTTTACACATTATATCCAAAAGAACGTGTAATCATCCCAGAAGTTTCTCTGATGTCCCATCACAATAAAGCCCCTCTTCCAAGATGTGATTGCTGATATTTTAGGATAAGTTTTGCTTAAGTTGGAATCATACAATGTGTACACCATTGTATCTGCCTACTTTTGCTCAGTGTCATGCCTGTGAGGGTCATCATTTTTGTGCAGGCATCTACAACTTGTTCTTTTTCATTGCTGTGTATTATTCTATAATGTATACTTACCACCAATTGTTTTCCTGATGATAAATATTTGAGGTGTTCGGATTTTGTGCCAACTATAGTTAAAGCTGGTGTGAGCTTCCCTGCGGTAATCTTTGGTGACCGTGTGCACTGATTTCATCTGGAAATAGAATCACTGGGTCATAGGTAGGCATGCGCTTACCTTTGTGCATATACACAGATATTGCTGAATAATTGTTCAAAGTTGTTGAAACCACTTTGATGAATTAGACATTATTTTAAAAGTAATATTTATTGGTCCTGAGATCAGGAAAAAGAGGCAAAGCAGTGTCACAAATCTAGCTTTAAATAGATGAGCTACCAATTCACCATCTATTTATATTGTAACCCCTTTTTAATTGAGATGCCATAAAATTCAACACTTTTAATTAAGTGTATCATTCAGCCGTTTTTAACACGTTCCATCACAAAGTTGTGCTAACATAACCGCTAACTACAGAACATTTTCTTTTTTTCCCCCCATGACCTACCCACAAAATATTTTCATCATCCCCACAGGAATGCTATGCCCATTAACAGTCTCTGTGCAGCTTGGCTCTGTGGACTTGCCCATTCTCGACACTTTATATATGTGATGGTTGAGATTGTTAAGTTCCGATTTCTTTCATGTATTTTGTCCAGGATCCTAAGCACTTCAGGTCGGAGAAGACAGGACGGGGAAAGTTAAAGGAAGGCTGGAGAGATAACCATCAGCCCATCATGTGCTCCTACAAGTTGGTGACCGTGAAGTTCGAAGTCTGGGGCCTTCAGACCAGAGTGGAACAGTTTGTACACAAGGTAAGTGAACCAGGAGCTCCTGGGCCGTGGATGAAGCAGCTGTCTCCCGTGAAGTGGAGTCAGACACCCGTCAGGCGCATGGGCCAGCGAGCACGGCCATCTGTATCCAGAAAATGCTGTTTTCATAGAAATCTACTTTAAGATGGAAAAATGCACAAAATGATGTAAAAATAACCTATTATATTAAAAAAATCTACTCCACATACAGATTTCATTTCCTCCCATGCAGGCATGATTTATGCTTCATCTCTCATTCTTTGACCTCTATGTCTAGTGACCTCTAAGTATGTTGTGAATATATTTGAAAATTTAAACTTAAAAATACTTCTCCCTCTGGCACCAGGCTAATCTAGTTCCAGACAGAGGCACAGGACTTATCTGTGTATGCAGCCCCAAAGGATCGTTCTGACTGAAAAGATCCTGTAATGTAGATAGTGAAGGTCGAAGACACCCCAAGAGACAGAACAAGAAACCCCAGTAGCCCCATTAGACCCTGCACCACACAGTTTCTGCTTACTTAGTAATTGTGTTACCAAAGAGCTACAAACAACCTCAAAACAAAATTGAATACTCCCTTTGGCCAAATTTGTTGATTTCATAGTAGGTACCCCCTTGGTGAGGATTTTCGTTTTGGGGGTTCCCATCAAGAGTTTCCTCTTGGGATAAGTGGGAAATGCAGTTCGAAGCACCACCCATTTTTGTAAAAAATAACACTACCCAAGTTTTCTCTACATTCCAGATAGGCTGGGTTTCTGTTTATTTTTCCATTTAAAAGCTGATAAAGAACAGCTTTCTAAAATTCTTTTGGGGGCACTAGAACTTAACCTTAATGCACCAAGCTTTTTGTCACTTAGATGGATTTGTCTACCAAGGTTGGGGGCTCGTAAAATGTCTTGATTTTGAGGCTCAGTCCAAGGAATGGATTGGACTTGTTTCATGATAATAGCAGAGTCAGGAACCAAGTTGGGAGCATCGGTGTTGAATAGAGAAATGCACCCCTATTTTCTGCTGTACTCCAGAACCCAGCCAGCCCAACCAGAAGTGGGGGTCCAGTGAGACAGAATCTCTGACTCCTGCTTTCCTGCTGTGCCCCTTCTGAAGCAAAAGGTCAGTCAGAGGGCCCTCCCTGATGGTGCAGCGGGTTAAAGCACTGCACTAGGAGGCTAAAGTCACTTCAGCGTGAGCTCAATCCTCGCCCCTCGTGACCCACAGGGCACGGCAGACCTCTCCTGACCTGCCTGCTGCTCCCTCAGCAGTATATTTCATTGATCTGCCTGTTCTACTCCCACTCTGTCTCTGGTGAATCCTCTCACCGCCTCTGCACCTCTGGCCTGTACCCTAGTTCTGTATGCACAAATAAATAAATCTTTTTTAAAAAAAAAAAAAGGTCAGTCAGGGGTCTTAAATATTTTCCATCCTCAGGCTGTGTCTATCCCAGGCTCTCTCTCCATGACTTCCTACGACATCCCCTTTTTAGGTGTTTTTAACCCAAGTGATGTCTTACTGGGGTCACTGCGATAGTACATTACTTCCTCTCGCAAAGCTCTTTAGCTTGCCCCTGGGCTTATTGTGTTTCTTTGCTCACAGATGCCTTTGACTCGTGTGCAGAACCTATTTCTTTAAAATACCCGTAAGAATGAATGCTCCAGGAATACCCAGCCCATTGCCCTTCTGCAAATATAATGAAGTGTTATCAACACCCCAAAAACACACCTGCTTTGGCACATGAGTCACTAATGAGCATCTGAGGCTGGCATTTGCATGGGTTTGAAGTGCCAGGGATGCCTTTCTCCGAACACCTTTGTTTTTTAAAAATCTATTCACAGTTAAGGGGGAAAAATGTTCGAAAGTGAGCCATTAGCACATTATTGAATTCTTGTTTCCAGCAGACAGCTGTGTTGTGCTTAATGTAATGGGTATATTTACTGATGCCTCGCTGCTGTTCGTTTGATTTCCATGAATTTCACATAGTCAGCACACCGGTGTGTGTGGCTCCGTGTTGTTTCTTATGTGCATTACATGTTTCCTCCTTCCCAGTCATAAAAGCCTCGCTAGATATGCAGAGGCCCGGAGTAATAAACACTTCATTATAAATGCTTCCCTTGTTTCTGCAAATTCACCGAATTAAAACCCTTCATCTATTGAAACACGCTTGAATCTTCCAGGAGAGTTTTTGACAATTGCTGGATTTGTTTGGCAGGAAGACAGGAATGTGGCAGGGAGACTAGAAGTAACCAAGAAATGGATAAAAGCACGGTCAAAGCAGACGCAAAAGAACCCCGTGAATTCAGCGCACACAAACTGTATATTGTTTTTCTTAGTTTCTGTGGCCATGCTGTGTCACCATAAGAAATAATTTCACCCCCTTTGTCTTGGGTTCAGTTTGCCATGTCTGTTACATTCTATACTAGTTCAGGTCTCGTATTTCATCACTTTCAATAATAGTTGACTGACCTGCTCTTAAATTTCCTGCTACTGCATGAGAGTCCAACCTGAAAGGATAATTACGTACCCTGTACCCCACACTTTCATTTCAAAAATTTTTAAATAACATTTGGACTCTCTTATCAGAAAGAGCATTAAGTGCTCTTTGCTTAGAAGTGAGCTGTTGTCAAAAAAAACTGTTCTTGATCTCCAGCCCTTGCAACTCCTGGCCCCAGGAAAAGAACTTGTGCTAGTTAGGTAAAGGTAAATAAAGAGAAAAAGCCAAAGATGATTAGCCTCAGGATTCACTCAAACTACCTCTTCGAGTCTGCCAAGGAGCCGCCTTGGGTCTGTGCTCACCGCCCCCGCCCGACATTCAAGGAAGATGAAGAGGCGAATTCACAGCAAATGTGTTGGTGCCTGGAGGAAGCTGAGGGTGAGCACTGGACAGTGCTGGTTTCTGGCCACCTCCCCTGGTATCATGGACAGTGTGATTGAGAAATCCACAATTGGGCCTCCCTGGTGGCTCAAGGAGTTAAGTCTCAGCACTATGAAGCTGCCCACAGCCACTGCCACATGAGCTCAATCCCCAGCCAGGGAGCTGACCCACAGGGCAGAGCAGACCTCCTGTCTCACCCGCTGCTCCCCTCAGCAGTGTATTTCAGTGGATCCACCTGTTCTGCTCCCCACTCTGTCTCTGGTAAATCCTCTCACCTCTCTGCTTCTCTGGCCTGTACCCCAGTGCTGTATGCATAAATAAATCTTTTTTATTTTAAGATTTATTTATGCATAAAGCACTGAGATGCAGGCCAGAGGTGCAGAGGCAGTGAAAGAGTTCACCAGACACAGAATGGGGAGCAGAAAAGGTCAGTTGACAAAGTACACTGCTGAGGAGAGCAGTAGGCAAAACAGGAGAGGTCTGCTGTGCTGTGTGGGTCAGCTCCAGGCCGGGGATTGAGCTCACACTGAAGCAGGTGTGGCCAGCTTGTAGTGCTGTGTCCTAACCTGTTATACCACCAGGGAGGGCCAATAAGTAAATCTTAAAAAAAAAAAAAAAGTGCTTCTGTATATCTGGACTGTAACGCATTTCTGTATGCATAAATAAATAAAATATAAAATAAAAAAAGAGAGAGAAATCCACAATTACCAGGGCTCCTGAAAATGAGAACAGTCTGGTGCTCAGCTGGTTTTCACCAAATACAGTGTCGTTTCAGCCTCCTCCTTTTACCTTTTCAGGTGGTCCGAGATATTCTGCTGATTGGACACAGACAGGCTTTTGCGTGGGTTGATGAGTGGTATGGTAAGTCAGCTTCCCCGAACCAGCTCAGAGGGTGACCTTACCATCGGTTGACTTGGGCTTTCAGTCTACCTGGCTGCAGCTGCTTTCTGTATCAGAACCAGCCCTGTCTGGGGCAGAGTGAAGGAGAATGGGATGATGGCGGCTTGGTCCGAAGAACCACAAAACTTCGTTATTGGCTAAGCAGAGCCTGAGTATGTTTGATGCTTTAATACTTGATAGCTCAGAGCTCCAGAATGCTCTGTTGGGTGGGTTTCAAACCCAAATTGATTCCAAACTTTCATTTGCCATCAAAGGTTCCTGAAGCATCAAGTGAAAGCAGTCCTTGATACACAGAACATTTAAAACAGTCCCTCACCAAAATCATAAGGATTGTGCAGGAACTGTAGGACAGAAACATAACATACCCCTTTAATCCTGAACTGGCGTTATGTTTGGCTCCCCCCATCCTCTGTCCCCATGATCTGGGATGAGTCAAACAAATTCTGCACATTTCCAGTAAGTGAAAACAAGGATGGTTCCCTGCTATGATGGATGGCCACCTTCCCCACATCCTTAACCCTCTCCTTAGTCCACGTGACTCTTCTCCATTCCCAGAATCAGCCATCAGAGGCTGGTGTCCTTGGCTATAAATAGAAGCGAACACACTCGCGTGGTGACTTGGGTTGCGTCTGATTGCCTAATGAAATGCCCTTCTCCTTGGCCTTTTCCTAAGTCACATTGAATTTGTTCTGAGCGTAACCTAGATTGCATTTGGCCCTTTTCTGTCCTCATTCCACCAATTCCTCCTCTCGAAGCAGAAGGGATCAAATTGAAAGTGAAAAGATACATTGGACTGAGTGGGCAAAGACAGTGATTGTTATTAATGTCGTTAGCTGCTTCTGAGCCACATTTTAAAAGGCATGGCTCTTAGGCCACAGGCTGTATTTGTTGTAGCAATTTTCCCAGACCCTCTGCATCTTCGGAAGAGCAGATGTATATTCCTGGCTTTGTCCAAAATGCAGATCTCCGGAAGAAGTTCTTTTGAAAGACTATCCGTGGCTCTTTCTCGCCACCTTGCACTATTTGAGACAGCAAGAGGCCTGGCTGGTCACCCAGGCTGAGGCCCTCTTGGTCTGTGTGTGGGCCCCTCCTGGTCTGGGGAGCGAATCCCAGCTGCTGACAGGGTGACAGGCCCCAGGAAAAGTTAAGAGCTGCAGCTCTCTTCCGACTTGCTCTCCTGCAGCCCACGCTGTCCTCGGGGGACAGTGAAAGGTTATCCAGAGAACAGTAGGCTCATACTGGCAGGGGAGTTGGTACAGGGACTGAACCTGAAAGGCCAAAACTCGGCCACTTTGAAGGCCAAGAAACTCAGCAGCTGAATCAGTTGCGCTCTAGCGCTAGCGAGCATTTTTCAGAAAAGGCACAGACCAGAAAAGAGGGTCTGGGGAGGGTGGGGGATTCAGGAAGAGAGGGAATGTGGCTGGCATCCAGCAGAGGTACAAATGGGGCACAGGGCCCTCCCTGGTGGTGCAGCCACTTCAGCACGAGTTCGATCCCCACCTTAGAGGTGACCCACAGGGCGCACAGACCTCTCCTGTCTCCCCGCTGCTCCCCTCAGCAGTGTACTTCGTCACTCAGCCTGTTCTGCTCCCCACTCTGTCTCTGGTGAGTCCTCTCACCACCCCTGCACCTCTGGCCTGTACCCCAGTGCTGTATGTATAACTAAATCTTTTTAGAAAGGGGGTACAGAGAATGGGGGCCAACTCTGTGCTCTCACCACTGAGCCTGGGGTAAGGTAGTGAACTTGAAGACTTAGTCAAAAAAGAGTTCTTGGCCCCCAAGGGGATTGCAACTGAGATGGGAAAATGCACAAGAATATGTAAAAATAAACTATTTTAATTTTTTTTTAACTTTTAAAAAACATAAAACTTTATTGATCAAATGAAATGTGTGGATCTTGTTTAGACCCCAGCTTGAAGAAAACAACTACCAAAAAGTGGTTATCCTGTGATGTTTAGGAACAAGTAAACAGGACTGATGATATTAAAAAGATACATTTTCATCTTTAAATAAATGTATTTACTTTTTAAAAATAAAAAAGCTCTTGGCCTTTAAGAAGGGCTAAAGCTAAATTATATATAAAAGAAGCCGCAGGGCTCCGTTCCTGCACACATTTGAGAACACTTACCTGTTTACTTAGGGTGGGTTACGTGGGGACTCGGGAGTGTCTCCACAGAAAGCCCTTTCTGCAGCTGAGTGCAGAAGGACAAGGCTGTGGGCTAGTGGATGGTGGTCCTCAGGGCGCTGTGCACGCCAGAGATGTCTGCACCCCTGGATATACAGCCTAACCCCCACCGAAACAAGCAGCCTTTTCACTCCCAAGGGGTCTAGAACCAGCCCGTCAATTCCGAGTAAATTGCTGCCAGCATCACTGCCCCAGCAGAGCAGCTTGTGGGGAAACAGTGGCTCACTTGTGGGCCAGGCGCCGTCGCTCGGCCAGATGAGTGGACAGCCCGGCTCACAGAGGCAGCACCTACTCCAGGTACAGCAGCAGGAAGCGGGCCTTGCGGGTAAATGGGTGTGGGAAGGGCCAGGATAGCCCTTGCTTATTTTTTTTCTTTTGGTCTCTCCAGGTTCGGTGAGGCCTCATTAACCAACATAGGAGAAGTCTAAAGTAAAAAAAATAAATAAATGAAAATTTCTCACTGTAGCTTATGACACTGGTTAGCAAAGTGAGGTCCCTGGACCAGCAAAATCAGTGTCCTGGAGTATTTGCTAGAATGCACAGTCTCAGGCCTCCTTGATGATGCAGGGGTCAAGTCTCAGTACTATGGAAGCTATCCACAGCCACTGTAGCACGAGTTCGATCCCCGGCCAGGGAATGACCCACAGGGTGCAGCAGACCTCTCCTGTCTCCCCGCTACTCCCCTCAGCAGTGGATTTCAGTCGATCTGCCTGTTCTGCTCCCCATTTTGTCTCTGGTGAGTCCTCTCACCCTCCAGCACCCCCAACTGGCTGTGGCCCAGAGTGTGGAGGGTGGAGCCCACCAGTCGGTTCTTCAGAAGCCCTCCAGGTGCTGTCCAGGTGCTGGCTCAAGTTTAAGAACAACCCACTGACATTGCACGGGCTGTGAGCCAGATTAGATCACCAAAACATTTTCGTGAATTCAGCTAGAGAGTAGTGGGCATGTTCAAGAGCAGCTGCTGAGCCCTGGCGCCGTGTGAGAGGCAGACTCTGCCCCTTCTGGGCAGAATCAGCAGGTCCTCTGGGGTTGGGGCTGACTTGCAGCCTCCTGGGCTGTGTGTTTGCAGCAGATGCAAACAGTCCATTCTTATCAGCAGCAACCTGGTGCTTAACCAAGAGTCTAGAAAAAGGACAGTCTAGAGAACCGTGATTGCTTCTCTGGCCCAAGTTTAATTTTGTGCCTTTTTTGAGTTTGGGCATTTGGCTGTCACCTAACTTTCCCCAAAGTGATCTTATTCTCTTGGAGGGCACCCTGTCACACTCCTGCTGTTGGGGTCCGAGTTGAGTTTGCCTTTCAAAGGTCTTTAAGATCCAGGAGCCTCGGGTCTCTCCTGCATCCCTGCAACACTAATCAGGAACTCCACAGCCACACATTTATGGAGATGGGGTGAGAGGGGCCGTGGATAAAAATAGGCAGCCGTCTTCACAAAAGCATGGTGCTGCTTCACAAATCTGACAATATTTTGAGAGAAGAGCATAGCAGATTGCCAGAAGGAGGCGGTGATTGATCGGAGCCTCATGAATGTCTTTGAAATCCTGACCCTTTCCAAAAAGTAGGAGGGGTCATTCCGGCTGGTGTAGATGAAACTCCCTCATGAAAGGGACTTAGAGATCATCCTGAGTCCCTAAAGCCCTGAGCAGGCCTAACAGTGAGTGAAGCAAGCCAGAGGTAGCGAAAGAAGTCTGCTTGGGGAGCAGCGCGAGTTGAATTTACCAAGCCAGGCTTTCCACAGCCTCCAGTTTACTGAAATATGCATGCAGGACCACGGCTCTGAGGCAGTGTTTGATGTGTGTGCTTATTTCATTTTTCTGGAGAAAAAACCCAGAGATTTCATCGGATTTTTTTTTTTTAAGATTCATTTATTTATGCAATCAGAGCTTCAGGGGCCACGAGCAGCTTCACCAGAGACAGAGTGGGGAGCAGAACAGGCCGACGGACGAAGTACACTGCTGAGGGGAGCAGCGGGCAGGTCAGGAGAGGTCTGCTGCGCCATGTGGGTCACCTCCAGGGCCGGAGATCGAACTCATACTGAAGTGGCTGTGCTAACTTGCAGTGCTGCGTCCTAACCTGTTGCTCCACCAGGGAGGGCCCCCTCCATCAGATTTTAAAGGGATCTGTGACACCCACCTCCACCTCCCCGAATTAAGAACTATGGAAACAGTCACCACGGGAGATTACGATTCCGCATATTAGTGGTCTGAATGATGTGCCTTCGGCCTTTTTTGTTTTTCTACTATCGATTTATTTATGCATACAAGAACTGGGGTACAGGCCAGAGGTGGTGCAGAGGCGGTGAGAGGCTTCACCAGAGACAGAGTGGGGTGCAGAAAGGCAGATCCACTGAAATCCACTGCTGGGGGGAGCAGCATGGAGACAGGAGAGGTCTGCTGTGTCCCTGTGGGTCAGCAACCTGGCCGGGGATGGAAGTCATGCCCCAGTGGCTTGTAGCGCTGTGCTTCAACCCTTTGCACCACCAAGAAGGGCCAAGCATTGGTCACTTTCACTACACAAAGGTGGAGTCACCCCTCAGCTATTTATAACAACATCGTATTGAATTTGTCATCATTTTAAATGGTGAAGAAAGACATATGGAAGACTGCTGCCGTTTTCAGCAGCCAAAAGAATATCAAACCTGACACATGATTTGTGGGGCCTCCTTCATCCCCCAACTTCCATTTTGACTTAGAGTAAGAAAAAATGATTCTGTTTAGGCTGTGGAACCTTGGAGCATAGTGAGATGAAGGATAGAAGCCATAATGTGCCCTCGGACAGGCCG